GCACATAGTGTAAAAGTGCTTTGAGTGGTCGGAAGACTAGAAAGGAGCTATACAAGTACAGGTCCATTTACCATTTACCATTTACCAAAATAAACCTGCCAGAGATGAAATTTTATATGTATACGCAGCTTGAAAAGTTGACTCAAGCATTGATATTGATGGGCAATGCAGTGATATCATCACTCTGCATCCCTGCAGATGTTTGGCGCAGCGTTGGCAGCGAGGAGGAAACGCTTCAAACTCCTGCACAGTGCTGTCATTGCTCGGGGCCTCCTGCGCCTTCATGGGCTCACTGTCTGCTGGACCAGTAGCCGAGTGAGTACTCATCAATATTCATCTATGTGTTAATCAATACCTTCTTCAGTGGCCTCCATCAATACTTTCTTCAACAGTACTCCAATATTATACTTGAGTAAAAGTACTTTACTTGGAAAACTGTATTAGTTAAGAAGAGAGAGTTAAGTAGAAGAATTGTACAAAAATTACCCTTTATTTATTTTTAAACCCTCAAATTATCCCTTGTGCCCTCTCTCCTTGTCTTCTCTTTCCTCTGAGCAGCATGTAGAGATTTGAGATGTCCTCAGTGAGGAGGAACCTGGTTAAAGGGTCAAGTTTAAACAGAGATACATCTGTAGTTTTATTTTGTAGGACACAGGAGAAGTGAAACAATTTCCTGTCTGTAGTTTTATTTTGGAAGATTTTCAGAAGTTCCACATCGATGTGTCTCTGGTGTCTGAGCACGTTCAGTGTGTCCTTCCAGCCTCTGTGGTCATCAGCAACATCAGCACAGGAAGCCGCACCATCCTGCATATGAACAGGTGTGAGCAGGTGTGTGTGTGTGTGTCTCTAACATCTCTCTATTTCAGGAACGTTGTCATCATGGATCACCTCTGACCGTCCTGTTCTTCCAATGAGAACACAGTTTTCAGTCTGTGGTTTTATTTTGTAGGAAAGAGTTACATGAAGCAGTTTCCTGTCTCTCTCTCTGTCAGTTTCATCATGGCTGACTTCTTGCGGTGTAAGATCGATGTCTCAGCGGTGGTTTGGCAGGGCAAAGGGCAAACTCCCTGTGCGTGTTGTGTGGTTTGTCCATCCAGCGGCTCTCGAACCGTCGTTCTCTCTGACATGTAAGATGACCTAATGACTGGAGGGCGTCACACAGCGTTCACTGAACACCTTTTTATTGATGAGACCTTCTTACCTCAGTGTGTCATCTCTCGTATAAATCAGTCCATCAGCAGCATCTAGATATCTACCTTTAAAACCCCATTTAAAATATTATAATATAAAATAATATAATATAATGTAATATGAGACAACAAGTAGATAGCAGCTGTTCTAGAGTGAATAACCCAAAGTTTATAGAAAACAATATAATATTGTTATAATATAAAATTGTGAATAAGTCGTTAATGTGGCTAATGCTATTATGGCTAAGATTAGTGTAGCCAATGCTAATATGGCTAATGCTAATATGATTAATATTAATGCGGATAATGCTAATGGGGCAAATATTAATTTGGCTAATGTTAATGTTGCTTTTGTTGAAGCAGCTAACCATCAGGGCTGTCTTTACTCACTGATAGCAGAAGATAAGGTCTCCCTTTCTCAGATTAATCTGATTACATGTCGATTAATTGTACTTAAAATGAGTTTCTGCTCATCAATTAAAGTTAAAAGTAAAGTTCTATGAACTCAGACTCATTTCCTCGTTGTGGAAATCTGAAGGTCCACCCTCGTGGTGTAAACTCGACCTGCCTGGATAAATCAAATTTACTGAAGTGTTTTGTGAACGCTGTTTGACAAACTTGAAGGAGGCATGAACACCTGATCCTGAACTAATCTGATCCTGATCCTGATCGTGTTAAGATCCACTGCAGAGCTAGGCATCAAGGTCCTGAACCTGAATCGATCCATCAATCAGATTGGGTGGAGGTCTAAGACATGGGTGTATATTGTATTATATTGTATTATATTATATTAGCAGCTTGGTGACGACGGCAAAAGAAAACATTGTTTTAAAAGGCAGAAACCTCGGATAGACCACGGCTCTAGGTGGGAGAGAGAGACAGAGAGACAAGGTTAGGGTTAGAATTGTATTAGGTTAGGGTTAGTATGGGTTAGGGTTTGGGTTAGGGCTTACAGACTGTAAAAGCTCTGTGTGTTTCTGAAATTGATCCGTTTATCAGATGCCGTTCTGGCTTACCTTTAGACACATCTAAAGCTCATTTATCTGTATGGACTCTATGCTAAGCTTGGCTAATAGTATGGGCCTCCCTGTAGTGGACTCTGAAATCAGATTTAAAGGAACAGTCCAAAATTCTACTGAGTGACGCAGTGCCAGTTTGTTTACTGGGCTTCATCACAAACTCGTCAGCTTGAGTCTCTGCAGTGGTTTATGGGTAAATCATCATCACTGATTCATTTAATTTCTTGGATTTTTAATTCAAACACATTTATGCTAAAATAAGATTAAACACCTTCAGTAATGTTTAATTCCCTAAATGTCTTCTGTAGATAAAACAAATTTTCTGCTGATGGGTTTGGATTTCAATTCTTCACTCTCACAGGGTGTGGCTGTGGCTCAGAGGTAGAGCAGGTCATCTACTAATCAGAAGGTTTCCAGTTTGATTCCCTTCTCCTCTGGCTGCATGTCGAAGTGTCCTTGAGGAAGATACTGAACCCCAAATTGCTCCCGATGCTGGGTGAATGTGACATGTACTGGTCAGGAAGACTAGAAAAGCGCTATATAAGTACAGACCATTTACAGTCTGTAACAAACAATAACATTTAATTGTTTGATGGTGACTGTTGGGTTTTAAACAAATGATTCAGATAATCAGATTTTGTATTTAAATGATGAAAGACTTCTATATCTTGAGTCCCGGACGAATGCTGGAGGTGTTTCAGGATTTTCTTCCTGCGTTAATTTATAAAGTCTGACCTCACTTACTGTCCATCAGGAACCTTCCTGACATCACAGCAGAGGATTTCTCCAAAGTTGACCTCCATCATTTCAACTGGATCCACTGGGAGGTGAGCAATGCTCAGAAAAACTGGAACTAGCAGAGTAATCCAACAAAACCAGACTAAACCAGACTAATCTGACTAAACCAGACTAATCTGACTAAACCAGACTAATCTGACTAAACTAGACTAAACTAACTAACCCTTCCTCCATCTAAATTGAACCTGTGAAACATTTATTTAAAACCAGAATAAAATCAACATTTTAATTTACAAACTTTATTAGACTGTACAGTTTGTACAGAATATAGTAATATTATTATTGTCATGTTGTTTAACTCCTGCAGGGCCGAAATGCTGAAGAACAGGTGAAGATGATCCAGCAGGTGGTGATGTATAACAACACGTTGCCAAAGCAACAAAGAATCACTGTCTCCGTGGAGATAGAGAAGACCAGAGAGCCACTGTATCAGCTGTTTTCTCGCGGTGATGTGGTAGGTTTTGTGTGTGTTTGTATGCATTTGTGTGCGTTTGTGTGTGTTTGTGTGTGTGCGTTTGTGTGTGTGCGTTTGTGTATGCGCGTTTGTGTATGCATGTGTTTGTGTGTGTGTGTGTGGTGTGTGTGTGGTGTGTGTGTGTTGTAGGTGTGATGCGGTGTGTGTGTGTGTGTAACTCGGTGTGTTTGATCTTGTGTTTTCAGGTGTTTGTCAGTAAAGATGTCGCTCGTCACTTCGGTTTCCTGACAGCCGAAGCAGCTCTGAAAGGACTCTACAGTCGGGTTAAACAGGGGTGAGTGGAGGTCAAATCTCTCTCTCTCTCTATCTCTCTCTGTCTAGTCTTTCAGTTCAAAGGAATTTCATTGGAATTTATTGTTGGGTTGATTGTGTCCCATGTGTCCAATGGTTTTCTTTGGGTTTTGTTCTGATGTGATTCCTGTCTGGGGGCTCTGTTTGTGTTTGAGTCCCTGGACCAGCTGGCTAAGGGGGCTTCTCTTTAGGTTTTGAACTGGATTCAGAGGATAGATTTCAGAATTTGGCATGCAGAGTCTCACTTTGGTTTTTGTGCATCTTGGTTAGCGAGTGGGCGGACCCCAGACCTCGCAACTTCAAAGAGAAATAGGTTCTATAATGGAGTCTAGTATTTGAATTGGGACGATGATGTTCCCTTTGATACCGTAAAGAGCTCTTCCTTCCTTATGAATCAGGTCGTTCACTGCTTTGGTGAAGTATCCTGTGGGGCTGATATTTAGGCCAAGGTAGGAATAGTTTTTTGTATGTTCTAGAGCAGGGCAGTCTCAGACCTCAACCTCCCTTTAGCTTCACTCAATACCTGGATTTCTATGTTATCACAATTATATTATTTGTTCTCAGATACTCAACAGTTGAGCCATAAAAGTCAAATTAAATCAAAGGCTTTTGTTTTATTTGTTTGTGGTCTGTTTTAATGATTTAGTAAAAAGCTAATTTGGGATTTGCTCTGGATGGTATTTTAAGTTACAAGCCTGTGGTTTTTGATCCTACAGATTATTTCTCTCTCTCTGACCTGTCTTTCTTTCAGGGCTGTCCTCATATGTGCCTGGGCAGAAAAAGGAGCGGATGCTTTGGGTCCTGACGGTTTGCTCATTCATTCAGACGCTTTTCCTCCTGAAACTGTTGTTGATACTCTCGGAGCCGGAGACACTTTCAACGCTGCTGTCATCTACACACTGTCCAATGGTGAGGCATTAGTTTAATTTGACTTTATTAGCAGTTATGCGACCAAAAGAACAGTATATAAATACAACCATAATTCGAATGAAGTTGTGAAAAATACAGCTTTACTTTTGAAACATACATTTATTCAAAAAGTTACATTTGATATATTGATGTTTGAAAAGGATTCACTAGGGCGCCTGATTAGCTCAGTCAGTAGAGCTGGTGACCCATGTACTGAGGCTGAGTCCTTGCTGCAGCAGCCCATGGTTCGAACCCGATCTGCGGCTGTGATTTTATGTCAAGCAGATCAAAATCAATGCTGAAATAACGACATCATGATGGCGATTGGAAAGTCTTAATTCACTTTGTCAGGCTGTCTGCAAAATGACAAGCAAAGAACTTTTAAAATACTTATTTTCTGAATAGAGTTTATTGGATCAGGGCTATACTAACTTAGTTCATAGTAGTTATTTCATAATTTATTGTATTATAATCTGGTTCAATACTTTTCCAGATCATTTTGTGAAAATACTGCATTCCTTACACTTATGCACATTTGAACTATTGCATATTTTGAACTTGATATGAATTTCCATTTCCCTGCAATAAGTGTTCAATTTACTGTTGATATTGTTCTTTTGTATTCTGTCATCATATGAACCCTTGTTGCACAATAAATATAAGCTTGAACTCTGAACCTGTCCCGATTCTGAGGCTGAACCCAAAAGCAGACTGAGACTGGTAGTAGTGAACACAAAGTCTTTATTTCTTTGGTGAGATGAAGGGTGATCTGGAAGCTGGCTGAAGTCTGGGGTTGGGGTCCAGGGGTGAAGTTAGTAGAGGTAAACCGGTGTGGAGAGCTGGCAGGCAAATCTGATGGCAGAGGAAACCGTAACAAGAATTTGGTAGCAGGCTGGCAATCTAAAGACTACACTGGCAACTAGCTCAAAGGAGCTGAAGCGAGGCACACAACATACTGTGTGCGGCGCAACAATCCGGCAGGGATTGGATGTCAGCCAGGATTCTTATAGAAGTGAGGGGCAGTCTTGATTGAAAGCAGGTGTGCTTGATTGTGGGTGACCAGCAGGTGAGTGGAGACAGAGAGCGAGGGGGAGGGGGGGAAGGGAACAAGCAGACAGACAAACCCAACAAGCACACCTCACTCACACTAAGGTAGAAAACC